GATGCCTGGGAATCCAGCATGGGGATGTTGGTGAGGAGGTCTAGGTAATCTATTGAGCCTTGGGCAGTAGATCAGTATTTATCCTGAATATACACATGGATTTTGGACTCCCATCCAACAATGTGAGATGCACTCTCACCCTCAACTCTTGGGGGAGGGTCTATGCCCTGCCCTGGATGAAATGACAGACTATGGACACCCCCAAGGAGGGCCTTACCCTCCCTGGGGAAATGAGGGGATACTGGGGGGGTTGGGGGGAGGGCACGGGAGGAGCGGAGGGAAGCTGGAGAGGGACCTGGAACTGACTTGTGAAGCAACCTTGTTTTAATTTAAAAATAAATAACAATAATAAAAAAGATTATAGTTTTGCATGGGCCCAACAAGGTAGACTTCCACTGAACAAGGTTGACCTGGCTACAGCTGCTACTGAGTACCATATCCGCCAACAGCTGAGACCAATATGGATTCCTGTGTATGGCACCATTTCCTGCTGACCAGTCTTTCACCTGGTGGCATATTGACTACATAGGTTCACTTCCTCTGCCGAATCTTCTGCAGAAAGGACAATGCTTTGTCCTTATTGGAGTAGTAACTTATTCTGGTTATGGATTTGACTTTCCTGCACATTATATTTATTTCAAAAACCACCATCCATGGGCTTAGTGAATGTTGTATATACCATCATAGTATTTCACAGAGCAATGCTTATGACCAAGGAACTTACTTGACAGCTAGAGAAGTGTGATAGTGAGCCCATGGTCATGGAATCCACTAGTGGTAACATTTCTCTCACAATTCTGAAGCAGTTGACCTGATAGAAAGATAGAGTGGCCTTTTGAACACACATTTACAGCTTCAATTAGTGGAAGTAGCCTGGAGGGCTGGGACAAAGTTATTCAGAAGGCAGTACATTGAATCAGCATCCAATATATGTTTTCTCCCATAGCCAGGATCCATAGTCCAAGAATGAATGGGTGGAAAAGGGTATAGTTCCCCTCATTATTATTCCTACTGAACCCCATTAAGAAAAATTACTTTCTGTTTTCACAATGTTAAATTTGGATGGTCTAGAAGTTTTGGTTCCAGAATGGGGAACACTCCTACCAGGATATGCAACAGGCATCCTGTTGAAGCTCAGAATTCACCTTGACCACTTTGGGTTCTTTATGTCCCCAAGCCTACAGGCAAAGAAAGGAACAACAGTGTTAGGAAGGGTGATTGATACAGATTACCAAAGGAACACTGGATTTTTTATCCACAATGGAGATGATAAATATTATATCTGGGGTTTAGGATATCTTTTAGGGCAACTTTGGTGGCTACCATGTCTTGTGATTAAAGTGAATGGGAAAATACACAGCCTAATCCACACAGATTGACAAGGACTACAGACTCATCAGCCGTGAAGGTATGGGTCACTCCTCCAGGAAAAGAACTAAGACTTGCTAAAGTACTTGGTGAGGGTAAAGACAATACAGAATGGGTAGTAGAGAAAGGTGGTTATAAATACCAACTAAGGTCTTGTGACCAGTTGCAGAAACAAAGATTATGAATTGACATGAGTGATTCTGTCATATTTTGTTAAGAATGTTTTTGTAAAGATATTTTTGTTTTCTTTCCTAGATTTCTTTATCATATAATGTAACATCAACTAAGAGAATACCAATGGTTATTACATTTAAGTATGAAATAGTAAAAGAATGTCTCTCAATGTACATTGTTGCCTACTCTAAGAGTTATAATTCATTTGCAGCTATACAAGGGATAGTTATATCATGTTATGTGTAATTATGACCTTGTTATTATTTTCACTTGACAATTAAGAATGCCTTAAGGAGATATGAGTACATTTTAAGTTGACAAGAGGTAGACTTGCGATGGTTATTCTTGGTTGTCTACTTGACTATATCTGGATTTAAGTAAAATCCAACTGGCTGGGTATACCTATGAGAGATTGTTTAATTAAATTATGTGAATTGGGAAGATCCATCTTTAATCCAGATCTTCTGTGGTGGGAAGACCAACCTTTGCTCTGATACACATCTTCTGCCTGTAGTCTTTATAAAGAACAAGGGAGCTTGTTTTTTTTCTGCTTACCTTGTCTCTGGCTATTGAATTCATTCCTTCGCTGGCATCAGAACCTACTTTTTCAGGATTCTGACATATACTGAAGACCAGCTGAGACCTCCAAAATCATGAACTAAACAGTTACTGCATCATTGGATCTTCCATTGGTAGTCAGCCATTGTTTGACTAGCCAGACAGACCACAGCCTTGAAGCTATTCTAATAAATGCATTCATCATTGTGGGTGGGTGACGGGTCAGCAAGGCTATTGCTAGTGAGGATATAAAAAGTGCACTGTAATCACCACTGAGGGTGCAAAAATAGAACACTTTAAAAATCAGTTTAGTAGCATCTACTAATATATTCTGAGAACACCCTGCAGCCCATTTTAGCAAAAAAAATCAGTTTTGTGCTCATCAAAGTCACACACTGGAAACTTACATTAGCACACCAGTAATGATGCCAAACCATAAACTGTTCAACTATCTACCAACAGAAGAACAGATATTTTGATGTGTCCAGTTCCCCCTCATTAGAAACTCCATATCTGTACTACAGCATCAATGAACCTTAAAAATGTAATGTTGAACAATGCTACAAAGACTAGAACTAGTAAACTTTTGTGTTATTTCATTGATGGTGGCTAGAAAGACAGGCAAACTCACCCATTCTTCTGCCCTGTAGGCAGATGGCTGTTGTGGGTGTGGCATTGGTCAGCAGAGGCCTAGGAGGTGATAGAGCAGCTGAGTCATATCATATTCCACTTCAGGATGGGAGTGCTAGTCACAGATGGGTCAGTCCCTGAAAATTTAGCAAATTACACAGTTATAACATGTGAAGACATCTTCTCCATTGTGATTTTTCCATTAATCTGCCATCTTTCATCACCCACTTCTGTTGTTCCTGAGTCACAAAATCCATGGTTGACCATCCATGCTACACTGGTAACACTTTGCCATAAACTGACCAACATAATTTAGCACTGTTTTAATGTATCTTGAGAATTTTATCCTCACCCCTTTAGTACATTTAAGATGGCTTTAAATAACCATCATCTGATTGTAAATATACATGCTGATCCTTATTTCACATTTAGTATAATGCCAAAACTCCCTACATGATTTGTAAGCTAATCTGTGGTCAGAATATGCTTTATCTCATTCATTTCATTCTAATAACTCAATTTCTTAGTGTAGCCAGAAAGTATCTATTTGTTTGAATTAATCACACTTTATCTTATCCTATGTCAGTGTGGATATCTGTTTCTGCATTGAGACAGCACTGTTCATGTTTCTAGTTTCTTATCATTACAATTATTCTTTTATTCCAGAGTATTTCCTGATTCCAGAGAAGCATTCCATGTATCATTTCTAGTATACTACATTCTGGGAAGTGTAGTGAAGTCACCATGTGATACCAGGAGGGGAGAACACATGAGTCTGGCGTTCTCAGTAGATAATACCTTGTAGAAATATATATATTAGTAGTTATGGGTTAATACTTAAGACGGAGGCAGTCAGTAAGAACCCCTAGATATTGGCCAACAGCATTATAATTAATATAGTGTCTTGTGTGTTATTTAGGGGCTTTGAGGAGGCTACAGAACCATAAATGCAACAATGTTACTTCTGTATAAATTGATGGTAAATTTTCTTTCTATCTCATGCTGAAGGTGTGATTTGTCTTTCTAAGAAAAAGAACGAGTCTATTGCTCTGAATTTGACCAAAAATAGACAAATGTCTGAATACAAACACATTGATCTTCAAAAAAATGTGAGACACCCAATGTTCACAGTTCAGATAGGAGTTGGTATATCCAATGAGGTTCTTGTGTACCAGAATTGACTTTCCCCAAGGGATCAGAAAAGACAAAATGTAACTGGGGTTTTAAGCAACAGGATCAACAGAGGGATATGAAATCCTAATAGCAACTAGTATCCTTTTGGACATTGAGAAAGATGATAGGAAACGCATGCTTATATTTATGAGATCCTGATGCTGAGGATCTTGACAGCATTATCTATGTCAGTAGGTATCTGATTTTTGGTGTTTCTTCTTTACCCTGGGGGGATATGTCTGAAACACTTAAGAGCATTAATTGAGTGGCACAGAAAAGAGGTAAGGAGATTCCCCAGGTCCCCTGAGCATCTTGAAAGGAAAGACTCTGGGGAGGTGATATCATCAGGTGTGTCTTTCTAAGTTGGTTCAGCAACAGACTCTCAGAAGAATCTGTCTGGACTGGTGTGTGACAGGCACCTACCCAACATCAAGACTATGAGGCTGGTGAGTGCCAGGGATTGAAATAAGGGAAGACTACTCTCCTATATCTGTGAGACATAGACAGGAAAATAGAGACAAATTTCCATTCAAATCATTCACTTGGGGTTCCAGACTTTTTATTTCAGCAAGAATGTCAAGGCAGACGTGGAATTTCTAGTGAGAGACTCATGGATGAACTTTATGAAAATGTGAAATGTTTTTAGTATACATGTGGCATTATCTGGCCATGTCCATTTATTTCTGTAAAGGACTCAGGGCTTTGGGGAAAATTCAATAAAGTATTATGAGTTAGTTGCAAAATCAAAGTAAGAAAAGTTTTCTAATAAAACTATGTCTCCTTTGTAATTGTGAAATATAAAATGGAATTCAAATTTAAATATAACAAAAGTCTTGTAAACAAACATCAGTCTTACTAGGGAAAATTAATATCCATATGGATTATATTGGTCATTGTTGCTTTGTAATCATTGAAACATTTTATATATACATATGAAAGTGATGTATGATGCTATAAATGATGTGTTTTTAATGCACATGGGAAGTATTTATTGCTAATTGTGAATACTGTAATTGAGGCTGCCATAAAACATTTGTGATCAAAAGAAAGGCAAGACAATCACCACAGAAAAGAAAGTGTGCTTTGAATTGTCTAGTATGCATACTATGTGGCCCAATATCAGTGCTGCCCCATTTCTTCTGACTGGCTTCCCAGGACTGGAAGCAGCTCACCCCTGGATCTCCATCCCCTTCTTTGCCATCTATGTCTCTGTGCTTCTGGGCAATGGCACACTCATCTACCTCATCAAGGATGACCACAATCTCCATGAACCCATGTACTATTTCCTTGCCATGCTGGCAGGAACAGATCTTACAGTTACACTGACCACAATGCCCACTGTAATGGCAGTCCTGTGGGTGAATCACAGAGAGATAAGACATGGGGCCTGCTTCTTACAGGCCTACATCATTCACTCCCTTTCCATTGTGGAGTCAGGGGTCTTGCTTGCCATGTCTTATGATCGCTTTGTTGCTATCTGCACACCTCTGCATTACAACTCTACTCTTACCAATTCCAGGGTTATAAAAATAGGACTTGGGGTAGTAATGAGAGGCTTTTTATCTCTTGTACCTCCAATCCTGCCACTCTTTTGGTTCCCATACTGCAGTTCCCATGTTCTTTCTCATGCCTTCTGTCTCCACCAAGATGTCATGAAACTCGCATGTGCTGACATCACCTTCAACCGCGTGTATCCAGTTGTTTTGGTTGCCTTGACTTTCTTTCTTGATGCACTGATCATTGTCTTTTCTTATGTCCTCATTCTGAAGACAGTTATGGGCATAGCCTCTGGAGAGGAGAGAACAAAGGCCCTCAACACCTGTGTCTCCCACATTAGCTGTGTCCTGGTCTTTTACATCACTGTGATTGGTCTGACCTTCATCCACAGGTTTGGAAAGCATGCCCCACATGTGGTGCATATAACCATGAGCTATGTCTACTTTCTCTTTCCTCCCTTTATGAACCCCATCATTTACAGCATCAAGACCAAGCAGATTCAGAGGAGCATCATCCATCTAATATCTGTATAAGATAATGTGACTCACTGTATCAGAATCAAGAAAATTTGAGGGATTCACAGCCTGTTGTATATTGAAAGAAACCTTGCTTTTATAGTATCTTGCTTCTTTATTAGTGTTAGGGAGTGAATTATTGCACAGAGCTACAAGTTAGCTTAAATCGTGACCATACCTGACTATTTTATTAACAAGTAGATATTATATAGATACCAAAATCTTTATCTATTTATCTATCTATCTATCTATGTATCTATCTATCTATCTCTATCTATTCGTCTATCTATCTACCTATTATCTTGAGAGAAGGATAGAAAAACAGAGAGTAGAGAAGTAAAACATCACTGAAATTGGAGATGAAGGGTAAAGCCAAATACTCTATTAATTATAAGAGCATTCAGATCTATAAGAGAAGAATCATTTTAGAAGTCAAGTTTCCAGTCTGGGTCAATCATAGAAAAAAGGGGACAACTGCTCATATTTGATGGCTATTTAGATATCAATTTGACTATAAGGATTGAAACCTAATGATCTCTGCTCTGCCTCTAACTGCTCTCTCTCAAGATAGGATTTTCTTTTGAAATGATTCAGGAGCCATTTGTAAAGGTTTACCATGTATTGTCCCCAAATTAATTCATTAACATTTCATTTTATTTGCCTCATTTTATACTATTTTCTGTGAATGTACCTTAATGAAATCTGTTTTCTGTATATTATTTTAAAACACAAATAATTAATTAAAAATAGACCCTGTTATTTGGTCTATTAAGTTCTCCCCCCCCTTTTTTTCTCAGAACACTATGTGCCCACCACACAGGGTCTACAGAGTCAGCATCTCTCCCAGATATCTTACAAAGCACTGTGACTTCTCCATGTTCATGCTTTTGGGTTGTTTTCATTTTTCCATTTAAATTCTTCCAGTAACTTCCAACTTGTACCTATTTTAAAAATATTTTTAGTTCTTCCCTAGAATTTATTAGTCTGCCTGTCTTACAAATAATACTATTTTATTCATAGATGGCATAATGAAAGCCTTACAATGAAATATTTCTTGTTCCTGTTCCCACCATTGAGATGTTGCTGACATACACCTTTATAGGTTATGCCTTAAATAGATTATTACTATTTTGTCTTTGCAGAGTTATGTTTTAGAATACTTAAAAACCCAAAATAACACCAATGCCAAATTACTTTTTTTTCTTTTGGTTTTTCGAGACAGGGTTTTTCTGTATAGCTTTGGAGCCTATCCTGGCACTGGATCTGTAGACCAGGCTGGCCTTGAATTTACAGAGATCTGCCTGCCTCTGCCACCCAAGTGCTGGAATTAAAGGCATGCACCTGCAATGCCTAGTGCCAAATTGCTTTTTCGAGCTATTTTTGTTGCTCTTTATTATTTTTCATCTATGAAAATTGAAATATAACATGATATTTTAATTTTGTGTGGTCAATTTGATTTTTATGCATTTTAACTTGCATATGACAATTGTACAGATTCATGGGATACTGTGTGATATTTTGATCCATGTATCAAATGCATTGATTAAAGTAACTGTCATATTCATATTGATAATTTTCTTGTTTTCACCATTTAAAAATATTGTTCCTAATTACTTAATATAATAAATAAACTTCTTATTATAGTTGTATTATACAGTGGTATAGAATATAGTCTATATCTGTAAAATATAATTCTCCTGTCATTTTTGCCTTATCCTTAAATTCTCTCCTCTCTTCTTCACCCTTCAACAATTAAGTTTGTTTTAACAATAAGTAAATCTTCCTTTTGACATTTTGCTGATCACATCTCTTATTAATTTTTCTCTCTTAAAACTGATTTGTACAAGTTTATTAACTAGTGTCGCTCAGTCTTTACTTTATTTAAATATTTCATCTTATTTTAGTAACATTTCTATATGCAGATTTTAAAATTGTATGTGTATAGACATATATGTATGTTAGTATTCACTTTACTGAGATACTGGAGCTTTTCATTCAGGGTCTTTTCTGAGCCCAGGTTTATATTAAACCTTTCATATACATCTGTATTATAATTTTACACATCTTATGCTAAAATAAGTTTGTATTTGGGGATGTGTAAGTAATTTAAGTCAACCTTCATATGCTTATTTTCATGAAAGTTTCACTGACATTCACTTTTTTAAATAAAAAGACTTATGAGTTTCAAAAGAAGGCACATTCTTGCTTGAGGGAAAAATAAAGTTTACTATGGATGTAATATTAGTGAATAGTCACAGCAGAGTTGTAAGATGTATTAAGAGCTAACTGGTGTAAATAAGGTTAAGAATATTGTAAGAGTGAAATATTATATGCAAAGTCTTGAGTTGGCTGGATTACAGAAGGCTACTGAAGGAAATAACATTGACTCACTGGTATTTTCAAATCATTTGAGTGTTGACAATGAAATGGATTTGAGAGAGGTAAGAGGAAAATAGATAAGGTAGAGATGACAAGAGATGCTGAGCAAAAGATAGTGAGGTAGTGAGGTCTAGAAAAGTAGAATGAGAAGTTAATGAATACCTATGAGACTCACTTAGGATTAGAATGTACTATTTGTAGGAGCTTAGGGAACTAAAAAATTCCATTCTTCATTACTTTCTTTGATATATAGAAACAACCATCCATTCAGGTTGAAAAAGAAAATAAACAAGTTATCTTTAATATCAAGATATATTCTACAATGTATACACATGTAATTATGTCATTGCTTATGAATGTACACATGATTATGTGAGGAAAATAATGTCAGCTTTAATCTGGTACCTTTTGCCTTCAAACTGCTATCTTCTTTTAAAAAATATTTTTATTTAATTTTTTTTGAAAATTTCATCCTGTGGTGGTTTGAAAGAAAATGGCTCCCAAAGAGAGTGGTGCAGGTATTATTGTCTTGGAGGAAGCATGTCACTGTGGGGTTTGGGTTTGAGATCTCTTTTCTCAAGTTTCACTCAGTGTGTCAGTCAGTTGATTTCCTGTTGCCCCTGAGTCAAAATGTAGGACTCTCAACTCCAACACCATATCTGCCTGCATGCTCCTCATGCTGATGATAATGGACTGAATCTCTGAAACTTTATGCTAGCTACCTCAATTAAAGGTTTTTATTTATAAGAGTTGACATGGTCATGGTGTCTCTTCATAGCAATAAAAATTCTTTACTAAGACAGAAGTTGGTACCAGGAGTGGCTGTTGATGTGCCAGGTATAACCATGTTTTTGTTTGGAGTAATAGGAACTTTGGTACTTTGGGTTAGGAAAGCAGTGGAATGCTTTAAGCACAGGTTAATGGGGTATACTAGTAGGTGTATGGAAGACAATGGTGCTGATAATGATTTGAAATGGTGGGATCTTGCTCAAGAGGTTTCAGAGAAGAAATTTAGTATGCTGCCTAAAAATAGTTCTTATGGTATTTTAGTGAAGAAGGTGGCTTCCTTTTGCCCTCATCTGAAGAGTATGCCTGAGGCTAAAGTGAAGAGTTTTGGATTAATTCCATTGGCAGAAGAAATCCCAAAACATCCTAGTATATATTCTGTTGTATGTGGATATTAGTGGTAGCTCCAGTGAAGATATATAACAAAAAGGAGGATGCATAATGGGAAAAATATTTGAGGAGAAAAGGGGTACCAGCAAGTGGAATGGAGCTAAATTCTCTGTTCAAGGACATAAATATGGATTAAAAATGGAATATGAGACTAGTGACCTAGGAGCAAAATTTCACCCAGCTAAGTTTTAGAATTGTGAAAAGAAACTGGAGAAAAGCTTAGATCTGGGTATGATGGGGACGCCTTTAATCCCCGCAATGGGAAGGCAGGGGCTGGTGGTTTGAGGTCAATCTGGTCTACAGAGCAATTTTTGGGACATCTGAGATTAGGCAGTGAAAGTCAGGAAGCCAGTGAAGATGTAAATGAATGAGAGAGCCATGTTCCATCCCCAGTAGGCAGCAGAACTTGGTAGCTTTGGTCAATTGAGAGATTGCATGAATCACAGAAGACACTTTTAACTTTTAAACATGACTTGAGGATGGGCTTGCTTTGGAAACATTAGACACTATGTAAGTGGATTCACACCTTTTTCTTTTGTATATGGCTCATCTCAGAAAAGTTTTAATGCTCATCTACATTGTAGCATATGTCAGATGTTGATTGTTTTGATGAATAAACAATATTTAATAATTAAAATATTCTAATAGATGCCCATGTTCTTTTTTATCCAAAAAATTTATTTCTCATTTTTCATACCAATCCCAGTTCCCCTCCCTCTCCTCCTCGACACCTCCCACCCTTCCCACCCTCATCCTCTCCTCAGAGGGGATAAGGCTTCCTTGGGGGAGTCAACAAAGTCTAGCATACCAAGTTGAGCTAGGACCAAGCCCCTCCCCACATTCAAGGAGGAACAATAGATGCACATATTCTAATAAATGGGCTGCTGAGATGTCTCAGTGAATAAAGGGGATAGCTGCTGCCATGCCTGATCCTTAAAATCCTTGTAGTAGAATAGAAACAACTCCTACATGCTGTCTTCTTACCTTCATGGTTTACCATCACATGTGTGTACTCCCCAAACAAACAAACAAGGCAATAAAGCATATGCACATATTTGCATATATGTGGGTGTATGAATGCAATTTCTGATAATATGGCAATTTTATGTTTAACTCTTTGAGAATGCTCCACATTGTTTCCCTTGCTGTTGCACAACTTCACATTTCTACTACCAAATTCAAGGTTTCAACTAACCCACATTCTTTTGGGGGGGGTTCAAGACAGGGTTTCTGTGTATAGCTTTGCAGACCAAGCTGGCCTCGAACTCACAGAGATCCAACTGTCTTTGCCTCCCAGAGTGCTGGGATTAAAGGCATGTGCCCCACTGCCCAGCCTCAACTAACCCATATTCTTATCAACACTTGTTATTTTGAATACAGTAAGTTCAGAAGATAACACCAAGATGTCTCACTGAGGTTTAGATTTATATTTCTTTAATGAATAATGCTGATGAACACCTTTT